CTCACAATCACACACACAAATACATGGTACAGGCTCATACATCACTCTCACACATACAGACTCACACATCACACACATACACCACACAAATAAATATATGTGCACACACACACAGAGGTTTTTGCTTTGTATTTTACATAAATGGGAGACCGTAAATATTACTCAGAAATTTTTTTACATAATATATAATAGATATATGTACTTATATTTCAATCTCTTGTTGATTGCTATTTAATGATCTATTGTTTGGCTACACCAGTGTTTTTTTTTTCTTTTCAAATATTCTTGAGTCCATACTCTATGATTCTCTTTTTTTCACTTAGTTTTAAATCAATTCCCCATGTCATTAAATGCACTCTGTAAACATAATTTCAGTGATTATATCATATTCCAGAATATGAGTATATCATCATTTACTTAACCACAATTTACTTCCTGCCAATTTGGAGCTATTCAAAATAATACCACAATGAAGATTATAGAGCATTGAGCTGTGTTCACATTGCTGGTTATTTTCTTTGGGATATGAACACTTTTAGAGCCTTTGTCCATGCTACCAAATTGCTTTTTCCAGAAAGACTATAGCAAGCTCAGCAATGATTGAGAGAGACTCCCTATATCTTTTCTTAAATGTTTCTTAATTTGCTAGACAAAAGTGATATTTAGATTATTAGCGAGGTTGAGTTTGTTCAGGTTAATCAACCATTTGTAATTCTTCTAAAATGACCTGATAATGGCACCCATTGCTCTCCTCTTCTAAGTCCCCCTTCCTCCCTCCCCACCAGCCCTGCTCCAGCCCCAAGCCTCCTGCCCCAGAGGTTCATTCCCTGCCCTGGGCTCCAAGGTGGCCCTCTCCCTCCTGGTTCTACACCCTTTGCCGTCTGCTCACAAGCCTCTCCCATCCCCTCCACAGCCTCATCGCTGGTCTCTCTCTCTGCTTCTGTGCCTGTGGGTGCCCCCTTGCTCTGCCTCTCTCACCCTCGGCACCAGAGAACCAGCCTGCTGCTTGGGTCCACCATCAGACAGGCCATTGCTGACCTGGGGCAAGTACAGCAGGGCCCAAGCAAATGGGGGGCCCCAATCGGGGTCTAACCCACTGGGACTTGGCACAACTCTGTCTCATCTTTTCCTCTCCCCATTATTCTAACTCAGACTTTAATTTTCACAAATGATACAATTTGGTGGTTTGGGGTTTCTGCAGGAGAATGTCTGTGATCCTCAGAGCACGGGGCCTGTTTGCCCTTGTTAGGGAAGAGGGACTCTGGACGCTCTGCAGGCCCCGTCAGGCTGTGGTAATCAGCGGGGGCCGTTGGAGCTGCGGAGTGTAAACCTGGGCCTTCTTAGTGAGACTTTGCAGAAATCCCACTGGAGAGTTTTCTGCCCCTGCCCTGTCTACTTTCTTTCATAATGATAAATGGCTGAAAAGAAAACTATCTAATCTCCCAACTGCTTGCTTTTTTTCTACTCTTTCTTCAAGAAGAGAAGGAAGACCACGGTCACATAAAACAGAGTCCTTCATCGCCTGCTTCTCAGGAGACAGTTCTTTCCCTTTTCATCCAGGGCCTGTTTCTGATCTGTGATGGGCTCGCATTGAAAGCTCCAGCCGGGCCTGCTCTAATCAGCTGCGACAGACGCTGCAGTTGCTTGGGTCGCCCATTGAAATTGAATTGATTACCTGGCCCCTTTGCCATTTTGTTCTGCACACAATTGCTTAATAGCTGTCACCTTGGCTTTCTGTCCCAGCCGGCTTCGGGCTGACTGGTTCCCATTACTGGGGATGGCCAGTGCAAGTTCACCACCTTTACAGGATGGCCCTGATTGATTCCGTATGCCTCCCAGACCTGAGACGGATTTGCATAGGAGGGAGGAGGGCCTTGGTGGGGGATAGAGCAGAAATCTCTTGGCCTCGGGAACTGCCAGGCTTTGCTGCGGAGCTCACCATATTTGAATCATTACCAGGGCTTCTTGTCAGGGATCTGGCCTCTGCTGACATCGCGGCTAATGAATTTGTAAATTTTTAAAAATACAGAACAACCCAGCCTGTTCTAACCTTCGCTGTCGCCACCCACCTGCCGCCTGGGTGGTGGCAGCAAACAGGATTCTCTGGCCTGAGCTGGTGCTGGTCTTAGAGATGACAGTCCCACCCTCCCAGCCCCCTCTGCTGCCCGCCAAGCAGGAGGACTGGGCCTCAGAGGGAGACATCTTTCAAGTGAAATCCTTTGCACTGGGAACTACTTCAATTAGACAGCAGGGGGAATGTTAACATGCCCTCCGGCCTTTTAAGTGGGTTTTAATTTTATGTTGTAAGATAAGACACTGTGAGGCCGGGGCTGCTGCTCCTCCAGCAGGCTCCATTAGTGGGGCCAGCCGAGGCCTCTTGACCCCCTGAGGCCTAGCAGAGGCTGGAAGTTGGTTTTGTTTTTAACAATTTGTCAGCCTGACCGAGCTTCTCTCTTCATTCTCCCGTTTGTGATCCCAGGCCCCTCTGCTGTGGGAGAGCAGTTGGGTGGCTGAGCCTGGACCAGCCTTTCCCAGTGCCTGGCCCTGGGCTGGAGAACAGAGCCCTGGGGCTGCCTGCCGATGGCCTCACAGATGAATGTTCATCGTTCTTTTTTTTTTTTTTCCTTCCCAGGCAGGGCACAGCAGAAGCAGACCCTTTTCATGTGGCAGGTTTCTGGCCCGATGATGTATGGCCTGTTGGCGCTACTGAATAGTGCCCTTTGTTCCCGGGTATCCCATGTGCCCCCTTTTTATTGACTTGTTGATTCAGAGGGGCCGGAAAGTTCCACAAATCCCACTGCAGGCCTTGCTCCAGCCGTACCCAGGTGGGGAAGACCAAGGACCTCCTGCTTTCCAGAAAGCTGGGAGGAAGCTGTGAGCTGCCTAAAGGCAAAACACCCCTGTAGAAGCAGCTTTCTTTACCTGGGACCCAGGCAACTGTGTGTCTGGTGTGAGCCTGGGAACCCACAGCCGGCTCCCAGCCCTCTGCCTGGATTCTAGATGGTGCAGAGTATCCCAGGATGCAGTCTTCACCCAGAAAGAAAAGAGCAGAGCAGGTGTGAGTTAGGAAGAGCTCCCTTCCCTGTGCCCTGAACCAAGTTAAGGTTTCCTCTGTGATCAGCAAGCCCAAGGTGGGAACCAACAGCAAGGGAAGAAGGGGCCTGGCCTCCTCCTGCAGGAAGAAGTCCAGTCAGGGAGAAACCCTAGAGCCACAAGGGCAGGGCTCTGAGGAAACAGAAGACAAGGTTAACTTTGTGCCCAGCCGGAAATCTCATCCTAATCCTGATGAGGACGGGATTGGAAAGGTACCAGCCTGCACTGGAGATGGTGGATGACAGTGAGCGGCTTTGGAGAAGGAGCCATGAGGGGTAGGGCAAGAGGCAGGGGGTGGTTAGGAGGGAAACCCAACAGCACTTCCGACACCAGCGTCTCTTCTAATCTAGTGGGATGACTCCGCACTGGATTTCATCTCCCTTTTCCCTTCCACCTGTGGCCAGGCTTCAGGGATCTGGCTGGGGAGTGGGCAAGTGGACGGAGGGCTCCATTAGACCTACTCGTACTCCTCTCTGGGTGCAGGTGGCTGGTGAGCTCGGAAAGCCTTCGTCTCCGATGGAAGCTGCTTTTCTGAAGCAGCTGCACAAATCCCACTAAGGAGTCCCTACAGGGGAGACCACCTCCCCCAAGCCACCAGGTTGTATGTTGGCTACTAAAAGGAAACAGCCTCTTGGGCACTGCCTACCCTGCCCCTCTGGGGCCTCTGTGGGCCCTGGGACCCATGGTACAAACGGTCAGTGGCACCAAGGGCTCCATCTGGCCCTTGAGAAAAAATGCAAGCAGAAGGGAGGCAGAGACCATGGCTGAGCCAAGAAATGACAAGTCAGGAGTAAAGGGCATCCACACACTTCACAGTTGTAAAATGGCTTTATGTTCCAATATGCAAAATAAAATGTCCATGCTATATAACAAAACACTTGAGGTTCCATATCCCCTGTTAGCTAATGTGTCTGCTAATAAAATTTAATCTGTACTGTGTGTGTTTATATATATATATATTTATTTATTTATTCATTTATTTATGTTTTTCTAAACCATTCTTAGTTTTTTTTAACATCAAGTGTGTAATAAAAATTTAAATAGATGTCTTTCCAAATACCCCCTCCAACATTTCTTTTTTTTTTTAAAGTTTATGCATTTGTAAAGAGCAAAGCTGAATTTGACATGTGGCCTGCATTTGTGAGATATATATATATATATATATATATTTCTTTCTTTATTTATATAATATATAAATAGCTATTCAGCATGCAAAAAGTTTAGAGATTTCCCAACTTGGATTACAGAGTTTGCACCAGCCGCGTGGATGGTCTGGTGATGTTCAATGCTAAAGAGCGGGGCTGAGGACTCAGACCCACCTTGCTGCAGAAGAACGGTCCTTACTCCTCTGAGCGCACTGGCTGAATTTACTGGAAGAAGTGAATGTTTTCTCGATTCTCGTTTTTATTTCTGTTGGGCTTTCCTGCTCCAGAGGCACGGATTTTCTGGGAGCAGAACAGGCTCCGTAGATGCCTGGCAGCAGCCCCAGCGCAGTCTCCTGGGGACGCTGCCAGGTGAAGTGTGTTTCATAATTGCCAGCCACAGGATGCAGATGGGGCCTGAGAGGCTGAGTCTTGCACAACAGAGGGAGTGAGAGCTTGTGCCTTGGGGACCAAGGGGGAAGGGCTTTGCGCTTTATAAGAAAACCTGAATGATGACAGAGATGCCATAGGTTGCATTTTCCCTCCTCTTAAAGGAAAAAAAAAAAGTTTTTTTCATACCCATCAGGTGGCACTTAGCACATGACCCTCTCTGAAGATCAGCCCTCGTCGCTCAGGGATGAATTTCCAGGCCACTCACTGGGCAGCCAGCTCCACTAAGGCTGTGCTCTGTGGCTTAGCTGAGCCCACCTCTTGGGTCGGGTCAGAACCTTCAGAAGCCAAGGGAGTGGGCCAGAGGTTCTCAGCCCCCCTTGCAAAGAGAAGGCCAGGACCACTAAGGTGTGCACAGAGCCCTCCCACCCCAGCGAAGAGAATCCTCCCCCACCTTTCCTGTCGGAGGGACCTCATCACCTGGCCCTGAGTAAGTCAAATATTATATTATAAAATCTCTGAATATTTCACATGAACTCCCCACTTCCATCCCACCCGTGGGCATGTTCAAGAGATGCCAGATAACAAAGGACTCAGGTCCTACAGCCAAAAGCACATCCTAGACAGTTGTGTTTTGTTCCTTGTCATGGCCTCAATTGTATGGCAAAAGATCAAGGCTCTCCAAATGCATGTGCACACACACACACATGCACACAGCCCACCCTTTAACTACCTTCCTGTGTTTCTTGGTAGTGCAGGCCACCCACAGAGGTCAGTGCTGGATCAACATGGTCCTGGGGCTGTCGAGGGACCTGGGAGTCATCCGTCAGTCCAGTTCTCCACAGTCCCCATTCCTGGGTGGTACTGTACGGAAGCTTCCCGGGATAGGGAGAAGCTCTGAGAGTAGAGAAACTCGTTGGCAGCGTTCAGGTGTGGAGAGGGTGGCTTCCTCTCACACACCGCGGGGAGGCCTCGCTCCCTCGGGAAGGCGGAGGTGGGCCCGCGCTCTCGGCCCTGAGCCTGGGAGAGCTGATTGTAGACACTGAAGTGGGTGTTTCCTGGTGGCTGGGCGCCCTGAGCAGAGATAGTGGGCAGCCGAGGCATCATAGTGGTGGTGGTGAAGTGCGTGGGGAAGGACTGGTAAGGCACAGTCTCCATTGTCTGAACGCTGTAGCTCGTGTACGGAGAGACTGACGTCCACATGTTACAGCTCAGGGGGGGTGGGGGCAAGTCGTCCACCCCAGACACCCCGGCAATCTCAGGCCCTGAACCCGAGTACATACAGGCTTCTCTTGGGGTCACCTCGCTGCAGTAGGAGGGGCTCAGCATCTGTTGGTCGTAGGGAGGGGGCGAACGGAAGTAATGATCCTCCCCCACTGCAGAGGGGGCTTCCAGGTAGGAGCGCTTGCAGGGTAGGTCCAGGTGGCGGGCGTTGTCTGCTGGAAGACAAAGAAACCTTCAGGAAGAGCCATTCCCACCAGCCCATGGGTCAGTGCACCCCGGCTGGAGGCCAGGATAAGCCTACCTTTGTCATTCAGGGCCCACCCTTGTCCCGTGTTGCCATGGCACTCCCAAAACCACTTTAATCAGCAACAGCTTTTATAAGGTGGCAGCAGCCGAGAAATGGTGAGATTGTGGACCTTGCCCACAGGCACAGGGACACTCCATCACTGGGCACTGAGTTGTGTGTTTAGCCAGGAGGCCCTCAGCTTTGATCCTTTGCCTTGACTCTCGGGGCTGGGAAGAGGCCTTAATGTGTGCTGGCATTCTTAGACTAGACCCACCCTGGCCAAGGAAAGTAGACACAATTGCCAGACCAAACCAGGCCCAGAGGCCACATCTGTGTGAATGAGCCAGGAAATACAAGCCACAGCGTTTCTGCCTCAATCCTCAGCTCCCAGGAAGGCCTTTAGGAAGCCCAAGTTACCTGCAGGCATGTTCCTGCTGCTTTCAGAAGAGGAAATTGTCATTACACAGATTCCAAGATAACATTGTTTACAAAATTAAGAAATGGAGCTGATAATAAGTAAGTAAAAGGTGACTACTTTTGAGCCTAAGATAATATTCTGGGAAAAGATAACCTCAACTGCCCCAAACCATCCTCAACCATGAGGACTTGACTCTGGAGTGGCACATCCCCTCCTGGAATCCAGGGATGACCCAGGCCCCAGGACTTGGGCAACAGCCCACTTGACAAACTTAAGAACGCTTGTCCTGTGACTTATCTTGGCTCACCTCCTCCTGTTTTCTCTAGAGATCCACTCTGGGAGTATGTGCACAGGGCAGGGTGGGCTGGGGAGTGGGCCGCGTTTGAAGGCCTGCTCCCACCTCTGCCCCAGGTAGAGGCATCTTCCTTGATGAGGCACTTGCCCCTCTCTCTTACCCAGCTCTCTCCTTCACCCCTCACTCATCCCTCCTCTCCATCTTCTCTCTAGATTCCTCCTTTCTCTCGAACGCACTAAGCTCTTGAACTTGGAAAGTGGCCCAGTCACTCTAGGTCAGTAGTGAGCAAACTGTTCTGTAAAGGGCCAGATAGTAAATATGTTAGGCTCTGTGGGCCATGTGGAATCTGTCGCCACTACAATTGGTCTATGAATAATGTTTCATTCAACATCATTTCATTATAATGTTGATGAGGAAAAATAACCAATTCTGGGCCAGGACCACTGTGTGGAGTTGGCAGGTTCTCCCCATGTCTGCGTGGGTTTTCTCTGGTACTCCGGTTTCCTCTCGCATCCCAAAGATGAGGACATGCGGTGAGTTGGCCTGTCTACATTGTCCCTGTCTGAGTGAGAGCGGGTTTGCCTTGTGCTCTGAGCTGCCAGGACAGGCTCCAGCCACCTGCCACCCTGAACTGGAATAAGGTTGCAAAATCATTGTCTTACCTTTTTAAATTAATCTTTCCTAAATGTACATATAGTTCACATTTATTTCAATATTTAATGTTGAAGTGTTTGGCATCTTTATCTAGAAGTTTGATGGTGTTTTCATGACCAGAAATATACTGTAGGAACTTAGCTCTTGTTTATATCAATTAGCCTATGGTAACGCTGGTTTTGTCACGCTTAGTGTTGCTTGAAGTCGCAGAGCCTGTGGACGATGTTAAGCCAGGACTTGCTGTTCGCAGCTCTGCTGTCGTCACATGAAAACAGCCACAGACAGCGGGTAAGTAAATGTGCATGGCTGTGCTCCAATACAGCTTTATTTACGGTGCTAACATTTGCGTTTCATATCATGAAATAGTCTTTTGATTTTTTTCAACTATTAAAAAATGTAAAAACCGTTTTTGTATGGTTCACAGGCACAAATAAAAACAGGCAGCAGGCCAAATTTAGTCCAAGGGCCACAGTTTGCCAACCCCTGGTCTAGGTCCTTAGATCTAATGGGACTGGTACCAGAGCTCTGCCCACTGGTCCCTACGAGCTGGGCTGAGAGAACATTCTAGATTGCAAGCAAAAGTCCCCAGACTCATTTCCAAGAGAATTTCAGTGACCCCATGAAGTTTTCTGGTACAATAGCACTAATCGCCCCTCGTTTAAAGATGAAGGAATCTATAGGTTTATAGATGAGACCCGGCACCAGACAGCACAGATGTGCTGGTTCTGGCTCAGGGCTCAGCACACACAATGCTGTTGCCTGTGGTCCTGACCCAAGTCTGCATCCACAATAGCTCATCTCCATTCTCAAGAAGCCTTTGCAAGTCCTGGTGTGACGAGGCAGAGAGCCTACAGCCCTAGAACAAGGTTGCCCCTGTTCTAGGATTGAGGTTGCTTTGATGAATGACAGCCCCAATCCAAAACCTCTGGACTGTGACCCCTCAGCCTCCGCCCCTGCGCAGAGGCAGAGTCCAGCAGGTTTTGTGCTGTCTGCTCACCCTGTGGAGGCTCTCAAAGCATTGGCTGCAAAATAGCAACACCTGGAGTTGGGGAGGGGTACCAATGTCTGGGGACACCAAGGCCATGAGCTATCTGTGAGGATTCTGAAGGTTGCATTAAAAGCAAGAACCAACATCCCTGCGCTGAGCCCAGCCATGGTTCCTAACCCTTCAGTTTGCTCTCCCATGTGTGCGTGTGTGTGCGCGTGCACATGCGCACAGGTGTGCATCTGTGCATGCTCCCGTGTGTAGTGGGGAGTGTGTGTAAGGTGAGCTGCACCCCTCCACTGACCCTCTAGGGCTTCCACACCAGCGAGAGCTACCTCGTCTTTTCAAGCAGTGATAGAAGAGGCTTGAATCCCTCTGGGCCGGGAAGGTGTTGAGGGGAAGGTCCTGTGGCTCGGCCCCAGCAAACTGCATGTGAGCCCCGTTCTCGTACTGGTAGTGCTGCAGCGCCTGGTGGGGGCCATGCAGGGGGCTGACATCGGGCTTCGCCGCCAGCTGGGTGGAGACGAGCCTCTGCCTCATGATGCTTTTGGAGATCACGGGGTATTCTTTGCTGGAGCAGCGGGGAGGACAGTCAGAGGGAGACAGGAAAGAGGGAAGGTACTTTGAGGGTTCCCAAGTCCACGTACCTGAACCCAGGCTGCCCATCCCACCCCCTGGGAACCCCCACCTCTGCAGCCGGGCCACACGCAGGTCACTGTCGTCACTACCCCGGAATCCCTTGGCAAAAGGGTTGTTCTCAATTTTCAGCTGTGTGATCTGTCAGGAGAGGATACACAACAGAGGTGCTAGGGTAGAGGACTGGGCTGGCCTCGGCCCTCCTCCCGCCCCAGGCACATTCAGAATTCATGGCAGGGTTTGGGGAAGTTGCCCACCCAGCCCTGGGCCCAGTCCTGCTGAGTCCTCCTTGGCCTCACCCTGCACATCTTGTCACTGGCTCTTATCCACCCTACTCTCTACAGACCCTCCATATCTGTCTTCTGCTCTCACTGTGCTCCTGGCTCAGTCCCTCATCATTCTCCCCCCGTGCCTGTGACAGCTTCCCTGTCACCCCTGTCCAGTGCAACTGCCACATCAAGTTTCCAAGGACTGTTCTAGATGCAAATCTGCCTCTGTCACTCTCTGCCTAAAGTGCACCCCAGCCGTGGTCCCTCTGCAGTGACCCTTGACCCCTCACCAGTCCAGTGTCCACGATGTGAGAAGCATGCTGAAGAGGATAGCACAGGCAGAGGGGCCGGGGTGTGACCCATGCAGGGATCGGAAGCAGTTTGGTTGGGCTGCGGAGGGAGGGTGAGTAGTGGGAGGCAGCCTTCTGACTACAGCTGACAGGGCCCCAGGGCTCTCCCTGCCCTCTGTAGGCCCAGCATTCGACCTTTGAATCCCACCAGGGTCCTAACACTGATGCCACAGGGCAAGCGCCATGCTCCAGTTTTTACAGTTGCCAACCTTGAACCCTAAATAGAGAGCATAATTACTTTGCACAGAGGTTTAGGAGTCTGGTCTCCCTTCCTGCTCGTTCGTTATGCCTCTCCCTGCACTGGGCCTGCCCCCACCTCACTGCCTCCAAAGCTGCACTTCCTGCCTCTCTGTGAAGGCCAGCACAAATGCCGCATGGTGTCGGTGGTGGGGTGGTGGCAACTGCAGCTGTACCTTGTGATTCTGGTAGGAGGTCACGGAGATGAAGGACGTCTCTGGAAACACGTGGGTGCAGAAAGCTGTGTTTTTGGAGCCAAAAGCGTTGTTCTCATCAGCCTTCACGATGTGTAGCCGCGGCTGGTACTTGTGCATGGAGTTGAGGATGATCTGGAAGACAAGGGCCTCATTCTGAGCTCCAGGTCCCCACCCGCTGGCCCTTGGCCTCTTTCAGCTGGCCCTGGACTGGCTTTCCTCTCCTAAAAGCCCAGACCCCAGCGCCTGACTGCAAGACTGAGCCCAGAAAGGTCCTAAAGTTCCCACGTGAAGAGCAAGGCGGCTGGGCTCCCACTTGGCCTCTGTGCTCCAGCACCTATGCCCGGTCCCAGGACTTCCCTATGTTAGATGGCTTCACTGTGGCAACCGAGAACTTAGCAGTTTAAAGTCCCCCGGGAACTCGGCAGTGTAGTAGGTGGAATTCTGAGTTCTAGACAAAAGTCCAGGTTGCCACTGTCTCACTGTCTGACCTCAGACAAGTAACTGGACGTCTCTGAGCCCCAGTTTTCATATCTGTAAAATGGGATCATAATGCATAACTTACCTCCTTCAAGTGTTCCCCTATAGGCTGACTCTTCCCCTTGCTTCTCCTTCTTTTCTCCTGCCTCTTCGCCTCCCTGCCCCCTCCCCCGCTCCCTCCCACTTATGCGTGACCAGCCTTCCCCAGTAATGCTCACTGTGGGGGCTCAGCCCCCTCCTCACATTTGTCAGCAACAAAAGCAACTTCCCAGCCCAGGAGTCTGTGGAATGGGGGAGGGAGGGAGCTGAAGAGAATGTTGCACTCTGACCTTTGTCATCTAGTGACTCCTTTGTTCATTCATTCTCAGCCTTCACAGAGGCCTGCTGGGGGTAGTTGGGAGACTCAGCTGTATCCTATCCTGAGAGCTGCCTGAGGCTACCCACAGCTTAGAGGAAAGCTCCATCCCAGGCTTGGTACCAAGGTAGGAGACAGACAAAGTTCCTAAAATAAGCCAGAGGAGGCCAGGGGCCCGAGGTGCCTGGGGCTGGGGCGGTGGGTCACCCTCATGGCCAAAGCTTATGAAAGAGACTAGGAGGCGTGGCCCTGGTGCCCGGGAGTAACACACAGTAGTGGCTGCTCAAAACCTGCTTCGTTGGACTGCGCCCCACGGTAGCGGCTGCATCATGTGCCATTAAAATGTATTTTTTTATCGTTGACATTTGCCAGACGCACTCCCCATTGGAGGCAAGACCAGGAATTTGGGGCATTTTATCAGCACTGCTGCTTTTGTTAACCCTTTGGCTCCTGTCTGGCTGGGCTAAGCTGGCCCTGGGTCCCAGTTCCCTTTCCTTTCTCTCCTTTCTCCCCACCTGGTGCTGAAGCTTAGTGAAAGGTTTCAGTTCTGAGTGACTGAGCAGGGCAGGGCCAGGCTCTCCCGTGGAAAGCGGGCAGAAGCCTTAGTCTGGGGAGGCTCTGCTCGGACTACACCCCAGGGACGGGGACAGCCCAGAGCACAGGTGCAGTTGAGGAGGTAGTTGGCCAGGAGCTGGGCTGTGGGCTCTGGCTCTCCCTGGGTTCCGTGGTTTTGGCTGAGCAACTCCGTCCAGCAGGAACTAGCTTTTCTGCCTCCTGCACCAGCCACTACCCCTTAGCCCTCAGGGACAGAGCTTCCCAAGCCCCAAACTAGGTCCTGCAGCTGGAGACCCGCTTCCCAACTGGGCCTGCCAGACAAGAAACACGGAGACTAACAACAGGCAGGAGTGGGGTGGGGCTTGATGGACACCCCTTTCCAGGGAAAGGTCCACTGGGGAAAGGAGCTGGATCTTGGGAAACACCTCCCAGTCCATTAGTTCCTCGGTCACCCTGCACTATTCCCTCAAGCTGCAGGAGCTAACAAGGGAACTAAGTTCCCACAAGACCCAGCAACTGAATCCCGGGGAGGTGGTCTAGATGCCCCTAGGAATCCCTAGATACCTACCTCTGCATCTTTGCACATGCAGTCCCTGTGCTGTTTTTATCTTCCTTTCCCATTCTCTCTCACCTTCTAGGCCTAGCAACTCCTCCAGGAAGCCTTCCTAGATTACCAGGGCCTACTCTGAACTCCCAGTTCTGAAACTTCCCATGTATTTTCCCCGTGGCTGTGGTACTTCTTCCTCCTGACTTCCTATTTTTTCTTGTCCCTTCAATTGAACTAAAAACTCCTCAAGAAAAGGGGAGTTTATTCCTTTTGTACTTTCCCTCAAAACAGGAACTAGTAAGTATAAGGCAGGATTCCAGGCATGGGGAGACCTGGGTCATGGTCACAAACTCTCTATCCACGCCTCTCTTGTCTCTCTTTGTTCACTACAGACAAGGCATTTTTCAGGTCAAAAATGGTGATTAAACGTATGCATAGACAATCTTTCTGTGAGCACGCACATGCTCCCCGGCAACAGGACCACCCCTGGTCACTCGGCTCTCCTGGGGACGGGGCACAAGGGGAGGGCACAGGCACCTGCACATGAGGCTGTGCTGTCCCCTAGGGACACCTCAGGGCCCATGGCAGCAGTCACAGGCTGTAACCGTCAGCCAGAGCCTTGGGCATTGTCAACCCCCGTTTTCCTCACGGTCCCCCTCCTCCAGGTCCAGTCAGTGGTGACCAAGTCCTGTGACTCCGGCTGTAAAACAAAAGCCTCCCCTTTCCCTCTGTGCAGCCCTGGTTCAGGCCCCACTGTCTCTCACAGGGTTTAGGGACAGCCTTCTCCTAGTCGCCATCTACTTCTCTCCATTTCCCCTGGGACACATCCTGTCAGGCCACTCCTCTGCTCAGAACCTGATGGCCATTCCAAGAAGACCGTCCGTTGTTTGTATTTCCTCCTCTTGCCTCCATGTTCCCACCACCTCACTCCTGCGAGCACTTGGTCATAATGTCACCTTTGATGGTTCCCTCTTGCCCCTTGGGATAAATGCCAAACTCCATAGCCCATCGGACAAAGTCCTGGATTGTCAAACACACCTTCTAGGGAAGGGAACCAGACAGGCTGGCAGGGGAACCTGGAAAGAGAGAAACAGCCAGACCTGCAGGGGCAGGTAGACACCAGTGGGGTGTGCAATCTCGGCCTCAGAGAAGTGAAGAAGGGCCTGGAAGCTTCTATGGACCCCTGCTCACCAGCTGCAAGTCCTGAGCAAAGCTCTTCCCCTCTAGTCGTTGGGGTCCCCATCTATAAAGTGAGGCCTTCCACTAAATGGTCCCAAATACCCTCCTGACTCTGACAGTCTGGAACCTGGACAGGTGTCTGGAAGGAAGTCCCACCCATGAACCAACGCAAATATAAATTGGAGCCTCAGTCCCATCAGCCGGAGAGAATGTGAGACCAACGCGGTGACTCACACACCTGGCTTCACTCGGAAGTTCCTCAGGCGTCACATTGAACTACTTTGCCAGAGTCTCACATTTATATTTGTTGCCGAGGATAATGGGCCAAATGGGCCAGCCACGTCAACAAAGCCCACTACACGGCTGGTCTCGTCATCATCGCTGTTTTATGGAAATGGGATTCATTATGTCCTGGCTACGATTCAGAAGCCTGTTCTATTTTAACAACTATGATAGCGCCAAACATCCATCTTCTCAAGAGATCACCGTAACATGCTCGGCCAGTGGGGCCCAGAATTATCTACGTTAGAAACACAGAACATTAGGGCGCGGGGAGGCAGACCTGGGATCTTTCGAGTCCAATCTCCTCGTTTTGCAGATGAGCACCAGGAGGCCTGTCGTGGGGGTGGGACTTGCCCAAGGACACCCAATGGATCCTGAGAAGAATCCACATAGCCTCTGACACAGTACACACTGCTCTCGGCAAGCTCAGTCATTGCAATGGACCCTTGAGCAACACGGCACGAACTGCATGGATCCACTTATACGTGGATTATTTTTCATTTGACTCATGTGGTTCAAACGGTATTGTTCAAGGGTCAACTCCCAGGTTGGGAATTGCTCTTGGGGCAGTAATCAGGGGCCCAGAAACTGCAATAATAGCCAATGTTCACTGAGCATATCCTGAGTGCCAGGCCTTGGGCCAAGTATCCTACACACTTCATATAATCCATCTTTATAATCCCTGTAAAGTAGGCATTATTATCAGCCTAATTTTAACAGAGGCTCAGCTCAGGGAGGTGAAGGCATTTGCCCAACCTCAGACAGCTGATGGCAGGCCAGAATCGGTGCTAATTTCCAAGCCTGAACCTGTACCTGTGCCTGGCTGGTGAAGGCCAAGCCTGATCTGGAGTTGTATGGGGCATCCATGTATATGTCCCACAGCCCCCGGCAAGGGCTCATCACATTGCCAGGGCTCAGCAAATAGGGGAGGAAAAGGACAGCAATAGCTCTGGGCCCCCACTGGCAAGTTAACAGCCTAAGCCAGTGATGGCGAACCTATGACACGCGTGTCAGAGGTGACACGCAAACTCATATTTTTGGTTGATTTTTCTTTGTTAAATGGCATTTAAATATATAAAATAAATATCAAAAATATAAGTCTTTGTTTTACTATGGTTGCAAATATCAAAAAATTTCTATATGTGACTTGGCACCAGAGTTAAGTTTGGGAGCTCAAAAGGTTTGCCATCACTGGCCTAAGCTTTGGGGGGACACCAGCCCCTGGTAGAGGAAGTGTCTTCTCTGTCTAAATAGCACCCCCTTCAGTGGGTCCACTCATTCACTTACTGCTGACCAGCATCCACCTTTTGCCAGACACAGTTTCAGGCACTAGGACATTATGGTGATTAAAAACCTCATGGTTTCCTGTCTAGTGGGCAGTCACACAGTCATCCAAAATCAAGCAGAAACTGGAAGAAAGTGGTGAGAAAATGCAGTGGAAGAAAGTTCGCATTGATAATAGTAACAAGATGAAATACAGAATGAGAAGGGTCTAGGTCTAGGACCTTAGAAAGAAAACGTGAATACACTTTTGGAGGACAAAAAAGCAGACTCCAACAAAGAGAAAGGCATTCCTACCAATGTCCCTAAGTAAATTTATCATTTATGCCAAAACCGGTTTGGCTCAGTGGATGGAGCGTCGGCCTGTGGACTGGGGGGTCCCGGGTTCGATTCCGGTCAAGGGCATGTGCCTGGGTTGCGGGCGCATCCCCAGTGGGGAGTGTGCAGGAGGCAGCTGGTCAATGTTTCTCTCTCATCGATGTTTCTGACTCTCTATCTCTCTCCGTTCCTCTCTGTAAAAACTCAATAAAATATATTTTAAAAAAAATAAAATAAAAATTTATCATTTATAGTGATTCTCATAAAAATATAAGGAAAAGGGGAGGCCAAAGGAGGTAAAATATATGGTGACAAAAAGAAAGTAAACTTTGGGTGGGAAGCACACAATGGAGTATACAGATGCGGTATTATAAAGCTGTACGCCAGAAACCTATATGATGTTGTTGATCCATGGTAGCCCAATAATCTAATTTAAATCAATCAATCAATAAAAATAAGTTTCATTCTTAACACTGCAAGCTTATCCTAAAGTTCATGTGAAAACAATACTTGCGTCTAAGCCCAGGAAACTGAAAAAGAACAGTGAGGGGGAGAGCAGCCCTGCCAGGCACTGAAACCTGTTCTGAAGCCTCTGCAGTTAAGGCTCTGGCACCTGAACAGTCGCAGACTCAACTGGGGATTTCGACTCCTGAAATAAGCATCTAAAGCAGGAGGAGAGAGCACTCGTCAGTTACTGGTGTCAGCACAACTGGATAGCTCTCTAGAAAATAATAAAAAAGTTGGATTCACACCTCCTATGAAATGCCAGAATAAATTCCAAAAGAATCAATGGTTTAAATGTAAAAATAAACCTATAAAACACTAAAAGAAAACAGAACAAAATTCCCTTGTAAGTGAGGAGTGGATATGGGCTTTCAATGACTCACACTGCAGAATGAGTAAGGAAAAGACCAATGCATTCAATGAAAAACTCCTATGCAGGAATACCACCATAGCAAAACCCCAAGACCAGTGACAAACTGGGAAATGTATATACAACTCATATCACAGATAGGAGCTAAGCCTTCCTAATTCATAAAAGTCCTAGAATTGATAAGTGATAAAAAAAAAAAATCTAAGAGAAAAATAAGCAAAGGATAAAGACAGCAGTTCACGGAAGAGGAAATGCATATAAAAAAATACTTAACCTCACTCATAATAAAGGAAATACAAATTAAAACTAAAATTGATATCTACATTTCACCCATCAGACTGGCAAAAACCCAAACCTTTTCTCTCCCACCGTGTTGGTGAGGCTACAGTGACGGCGGGAATATACATCAGTGTAACTCAATGGAGGGCAGAATTACAAATGACAAATCCAAATACCCTTTGAACAGGCACTTTATGGCACAGATATACAATGCCATATGCACAAGCTTAATCAAAAGAGCAAAAATATAGGAAAACATCTGAGTCCTATAAGGGCTGGCTACATAATTTATGGAACAATGACGGGATAAAATTCTATGCAGCTGTGAAAAAAGGAATAAGGATGTTCTAGATGAATGAACCATCGCCATGACTTACTAGGTTGACAAAGCAAGGTGCAGAAAAGGGTTTGTAGTATGCTACCATTTGTGTCTAGAAGAAGGGATCTGAAATTCTGCATTCTGCTTGTCTATGCAAAAAGAAATGGTGAAAAGAATTAGTAACATTGGTTACCTGTGGCTGGGACTGGAAGAAACTAGATGGATGGGGACCCCATGGAAGAAGACATTTTGGTTTATTCATTGGTTATTTTTAAAACCTGTGAATGTATTTCGTATTCAAAAACAAATGTGACAAATGAGTATAAAATTGTAACTGTGGGAAGTACTAGGGTAGAAAGGTGCTCAAAGTTCTGAAAGCCTATGAGGGGGACCCTGAACCGTCTCCTTGAAGAGGTGGCATTTGAACTTGGATGCCAAGCTGGGGAGGGACTAACTAGGTGAAGAGGCTTGTGGCCAGAGGAGGAGGAGGAGGAGGAGGTGGTAGCATATTGAGGGGACTGTGCCCATGTTACTTTGTGGCCAAGGAGCTGCAGCCCACACCCCCAGCTCAGGATGAACTCAGCCTCTGGAACAGATTCAAAAATCAAATTCATGTCAGAAATCATAAACTGACCTTCCTCCTCAGGAATCCGGGAGACTTGAGACAAGAAAAGTAAGACTTATATGCCAGTCATCTCCATGTCCCACCGTGGGAAACAGACCCTATCCCAGTGAGGCCCTCAACTTCCCGAAGCATCTCTTTCCACCCACAGTCATTGGCCCATGGGCACAGGGTGGGGTGGCAGGTAGGAAGGCATGATGGGAAGCAGCCTGCACAGCCAGCAGAAGTGGAGGTAACCTGGGGCTGTATGGAGGCAGCTCAGTCCTGCCCCAGCCCCTGATCCTTTCTGCCTCTGCTGCCGGCCCTGCCCATGGCCTTGGGTTTTATTCCACAACCCAGGGGTCATACCCTGAACCTACCCCCTCGAGAACAGAGGACTTTCCCAGACTCAGCAAAAACCCACAAGGAGTTTTCAAGTCAGAACCCAGTCCTGTCTTTTCAGAGCACATGGCCTTGTGGTCTGAGGGGGTCCTGGTCCCGGAGCCCCTGCCTGTCATGCAGGACAAGCTGTCCACCCCCAGTTCTCCCCTGAGCCCTGGACCCTTCTCCTGGTGGGAGGCTGCAAATGGGAGGCAGCAGCTAGATAAAGCCCCTCAAGTGCTGTGAGAAAAGTCCAAAGTCCATTTGTCTGGAGACCGATACTTGAGGTTTGGAAGCTCCTGGGAATAACTGAACATTTGGAGATGAGTTAGGCAGAAGGAAGGACTTGTTTGGGGCAAGTTCACAGCATGAGATGGCACTTTCCCAGGTTCCTGCACTGAGAAGCCAAGAAGGGTGACTTGGAGAGTTCATCACTACCATGGACACAGGCCAAGGAACAGAGATCCCAGGTCCAGGCCCTGATATGTCTAGGAAGTTAACCCGTCCTCCACCGCCTCTCCTGCACGGCCAAAGCCTGCTCCCTCCCCAGCGGTGCTCCAAATAGCTGAAGATGTGACAGCCTTGGGTACAGGAAAACGGGTGGAGAAGCCGAGAGAGCTGAACTGAAATCAGAAAGCAGGGTCCAGCACTGCCCCCAGCCCCTGAGACAATCACTGCATCTCCTGAGCCCCACTCCCCCACAGGGGGTGTCATAACAAATACATTGAACGTGCTGGGTAAGGGATGGGGGAGAAGGAAGATGCGCTGCATCCCAACCCTCTGGAGAGAAAGCCAAGTTACTGTGAGGACCATCCCTAACACCAAGGGGCAGGCATGGAAAGTGTAGCCAGGGGCACCCCCATCACCAGCCCATCAAGCAGCCCCACTGGCCCAGACACAAGACTATATGCAGGGTTAGTGCCCTGTGAAGGGGGTGTGTGTGGTTTGGCTGACCTTTCCCATTGGATCACTGGCTTGTCTCTGCTGCCACGACAGGTTGGGGCTGCATGAGCACATGCCACTGTGTACACTGCACGTTTCTGCCATGCACCCAACAGCACCAACTGGCCCTGCATGGGGCTGCTTGCAAAACAGATAAGTTGAGAGTCAATTACGTTAATTAAGCATTCTCCTAGTTGCCTGTTATGGATCACCAACTCAGAAAAGAATGGAAGAGACTCTAAGAAAATCAGAGCTAAGAGCTGCTTGCTAGTTACGTACTGGTCAATCAGAAACACAGCAATGTTGGCATTTTCCACGGGGAACTATGATTCACAGACTCCAGAAATAGAACTGAGGCATGAAAGAGGCACGTACCTGCCTGCATACCCCACCACTGCTTCCCCCACCACCCTGCACACCTGAGCACTAGGTGGGCAGCCCAGTAACTGCATCTAGGAGCCTCTCATGCACCCGCATCGCCCCACCCCACCCTGCACTCCCAGGGTAACCGTGGGTAGCCTAGAAGGGTAGGGCCTGTGCCCTGGCACATAATACCAGGTCCCCAGACTTTAGTTTGCCCCACGCACTTGAGCTAAAAATTTCCACATAAAAAGCTTTTTGTGGGCCTGCCAGGGCCAGATGGCGAAAGAATAAGCTTTAGCAGCCTGGATGGGGCGTCAACAGCGGCATCCGTAGGGCTTCAGAATCTCTTTCGAGAGCCAGGTCCCAGGCAAGGCCAGGAAGGAGTGGACAGGAGCCAAAGCAAGGCCTCCCCTTCCAGGGGGCAGGCAGCTGCCAGGCCAAGCAGACAGACACGCCAAAGAGAGGCTTGGACTCATCGTGATTCTTTCTCAAGGAAGTGGACTGTTTTATGCTCCAGCAAGGCCAAATCCGGGGAAACCGAAGCTGGGCGATCAGACCCATCATCACCATCACTGTCGTCACAGCTGCCTTTTAGTTAGAGCCTCCTTGGTGTAAGGTGCGTCATGCATATTCCCTGGTTTAATTCTCATGCCCATGCAAAGTGTGCATGGTCATCTTCCCTTTCTAGACAAGGAAACTAAGGCTCCAAAAGGCTAAGACTCGCCCAAAGTCAACCAGCCAGTAAGCACTGGGGAAGGATGTGCAACTGTGGGGCTGGGACCTTGGCTCCTGCCACAACCTGGCTTGACAAGTGCCAAAGTCCCAGTCCCCACCCACCCATCCATCTACAGCCAGCCCAGGACTCGCCCTCAGGGCCAGGGGTCCCTTCTTACGTGGCCGAAAGGGTCCAAGTGGTTGTTTGTCAGCTTCAGCTTCTGGAAGGAGACCAGCTGTCGCATCCAGTGGGCCCCAGTAGCCGGAGAATCCGGGTGGACATAGAGCCTTCCTGGCATGGCGGGCTCAGCCTTCCCTGCCACCATCCTGCCAACAGAGCAACCAGCCACAGCAGGGGATTACCCTGGGGTCTGGGAAGCCCAGAGACCCTGTCCCCTCTGAGAGCAAATCCTCACAGACCTGAAGGGAAAAATCGATGCTGGTCCCATCACACTGACAATTTAGGACTTTGGGGGTAGCAGTGAAGCACAGAAGAGAGCGTGAAAGAGAAAGGGACATTACAGAGCAATGTCACTGTTTACTAGAAGGAATGGGGCGAAGCACAAATGTATTATAGGGCGATTTAGGCAGCACTTCTCTGTTATAGAGACCATTTTAAAATGTTATAAGTTACATTATTTGGAGGGAGCTTCTCAGAGGACCCAGACAACTTTCAGATTTCTTGCCCCCAAAACAATGCTTGCCCCAAAGAAATTAATTGGTCTTGGTCCCCTCAGCCAGAGCCAGCTCTGAGTGCTAATACAGCCCAGAGAGAAGTAGAAACATACCCCTGGGCAGGACTGGCCACCCAATCCCCTCAGCCTCTGCGGGCCCCACAGACCACCCACCAGGGAGCCCACATCCCAGGCTGCTGATTCATTCGATCCCTCGCTCTCTCCCTCACTCTCCTTGAGTGCTGTCCTGGGCTCTGGGGGCAGACAGGGCACTAAGGAGGTGGCCTCAGGAAATGGAGCCCAGTGTTTACCCAGCCCCAGCCTGGTTTTCCCTTCAATCCAGCCCCTTGCCAAAGGGTCCCATCATCCAACCACTGGACCCACTGACTCTGGGTGGGGGACACACAATGTAGCCAGGCAAAGAGGAAGTGAGTGGAGAAAAAGGAGAGAGATGCCACAGAGCAGGCAGCTGGACCCCACCAGAAAACGGCTCCCATCCTCCGCCCCATGCAGCAATGCCAGGGCCTAAATCAACCCTGGTGGGTGTTCACCTGTCACCCCACAGCATAATCAGCAATCCTGTTTGTCCACAGCTGTGGGGAGAGCACAGACCCTAAAATCCACCAAACACTGCAGCTCATGCCCAGCCCCAGCCCCAGCCCTGCCTGCAGCAGGTGTTCAGACCTCTGCCTACCCTGCAGCCTCTGCAGGCCCCGCTCCCCAGGCTGCAGATTGGGGCAGTCATTCAGACTAACTGGTGAGTCCCTGGAGCAAACATCAGGTGGCCATGGGTGTGATGAATGGAAAGAGCAGTGGAGGGAAGGCAGGTGATGTGAGGGTCCCAGTTCTTACCATTTGTTGTCACAGAACTTGTAGCGGTGGTCATCTGCAGGGACGATGTCAATCAGCAGGATATACTTGGTCTTGGCGTTCATGCCCGTGACCTTTACCTTGTAGCTGGGGAACATCCTCCTGGGAGAAGCCAAAGGGTGAGGCAGAGGTGTGGTCAGAGCACCAGGAGAGAGGGCACAGAGTGAGCAAGGGGGCAGAAGGCCTTAAGGGGCACTGCTCCTATAGCAAGAGGTCTTGGCATCGGTCAGAGCTGTGGGACCCTGTGTACGTCACTTCCCTCTCTGGCCTCAGCCTCCCCCTACACAATGAGAGGGATGCACTAGCCACTCTCTCTGAGCTCCTGCAGCTGTCAGTCTGTGTGTCTAGAAGGAGGGTTTATTTACATGGTTTCCCAAACTGAAACCCCACCCCTAGCCAAGTGGCTGCGAGCAGGTAAAGCATAGAGGCTCTGAGAGAGGATTTCAACACCAACCTGCCTGCCTTAATTCCCCTCCTGTCCTTCACCAGTCCATGGACAGCTAAAATTCTGGGCTGCCGTTGCAGGGAGCGAGAGCAGCAGACCTGGGAGTCTGTCAGCCGCTTTGTTAACCAATGAGATGGCTCCCCTGCTCATGTCTCTGTGGAAAACCTCAGGCCTCAAACCAACTTGCAGGAGAGCAGGAGATTCTGCTAGGCCTGTGGAGTCCTTCGGTGTTTAGCAGACATGAACGCTTGGACTGGGCCTGCCCACATGAACTGGGTGCCTGGGAGGTCAGCCCAGGAGCCTCGGGAGAAGAGCATGGATTCCAGAGCCACTCTGCCTGATTCACAGCCTGCTCCCCACAGCTTGCTCCCCACCCCCACTCCCACCCCCACCCCCACAAGTGGGAGGCCTTGGACAGCTCGCTCGGCTCTCTGTGCCTTGGCTTCCTTGTCTCTAAGATGCGGATATTACTACATATCTCATAGGTTGCTGTGTGGATTAAATGAATCCATGCACCACAATTACCATGGACCCCACTGAGCTGCTCTCTCCACAGACCTGTGGGATGACCTACCTCTAAGAAAATAGATTCATCAAAAGAAGTCCAGTCCCTGCAGCCCATGCTGAGGTTTTCCAGGACCCTGAGGCTCAGAGAACATTCTAGAGAAGTGCTTCCCCAGGCCCCTCAGCACATAGACACATACAACAGCATGCACACGTACCTGCAGGGCACACCTCCCTCCCCGGTCACCAGGTCCCTGACACTGGCCTTTCCCAGAGGGGCAGACAGTTGTCCTCAGACACCCCATCCCTCCTAGATGGCCTCTCACAAAAGTGTCCCCTGAGAGAGGCAGGACCCAAACCTAAATGAAGATATGAAGGGCCAAATTCCCTGAACCCGACCCGCCCACTCCAGGAAAGCCATCGGGTGGTCCTCTGCCTCTCACTAAGCTGAGAGATAGTCAGGGGCCCTCAAGAGAAGCTGTCCTGGGCACCTCCGATTATTGGAGTCCCCCAGTTTGTCAACAGGGGTACCTGCTTACCTGGACAGGGCAAGGCTTCCATAGGTTGCCAGACCCTACAGCAAGCCCAGGTCAGGCCCTGAGGTGCAGGCTTCCACTCCACTCCCCAGCCCAGCCAGGTCTGTGCCCCCTCTTGCTGGAGGAGAGGCAGGGGAAGGCTGCAGTGGGCCGGGATGGGACGTGTGTGTGACCGTGTGGATGCACCAGCGCATGTGGTGGCGTGCGAGGTGGAGTGCGCATGCGTGCATGTGTGCGTGCCTGGAGGCAGGAGGGAAGTTCTAGCTGCAAGTCTAGGGACTTATAAACCGTGTGGAAGAATTTGTCTCAGATGTCAATTGAAAGCATTTTCAAATGTCCACCCCACCCCCTCTCCTGGACGGGGAAGTGAGAGGGCTCAGGAACCCAATCCTGCTGCTCACCACCCCCCTGCCTGGCCTGGGGGCACAGCTGGAGCTGCACCACCCTCTTTCCTGGCCCAGCCTCTCCCCTGGTGGGCCTAAACCTGAGAGGGGGGCCGCAGCTGCCTCAGCTCCCCCTCCCTGGGCCGGGAGGGGGGGGCACACACCCTGTCCTTTCCAGGCACCATTTTATAAGTGCCATGGAAACAGCCACAAAATGGGGCAGCCCTGGCTGTGCATGGCTGCTGGGTACCAGTGCCCTGCCCTGCACGTGGTCTGTGTCTCCCGTTATCACCCCAGCGGCAACAGCAGAGGGTGGGCATGGCTTCCCCGAGGCCAAAGGGGGCTGGGAGACTATGGCTTGCTGTCACTTCTACAGGCTTCATAGCCTGGGGTCCTGTCCTCCGCCTTCTGCTCCCCACTGTGTCCACTTCGGCAGTGCAGGGGCCAGGTGGCTGGCCTGCTTTTCTGATGGCCAGCAAAGAGCCCTCAAAGGCCCAGAGCCTGCATCCCATGATTTGCCTTCTGCTAGAAACTGACTACAGACCAGATCGAAGGTTTTGCAGGAGGGGGGGCAAGGACAGAGTGAAGGTGTCACAGCCTCTGCCTCCCTGCGCCAAGCCCCCTCTCTCAGGAAGCAGGGAGGGAGATGGGACATCTGGTCTGAAGGGGGAGTTCCAAAGGCTCCTCCGCGAGCTCCCTTCCTTCAGGGAAACATATGTCCTCTCTGTCGGGTTCCGTGGTGAGGGCCCTGGGCCACGGAGGACACACTCGGGGGACCCCAGGCACAGCCACATCCCCTCTAGGGGTCTCTGGCAGGATGGAGGCTGCCCTGTGTGGGGAAAAGCTGAGTGTGACCTGAGACACACTCCCCTCCTCCCCCCTCCATAGGCTCTGCCCACGCTGAGGGCACCTGCCCTGGCTCCAGAAGCGGCTGAAGTTGGAGCCCAGAGGCTGGGCATGGGAGGATCCGCAGGTGGGCATCACTCAAGCCACCGAGGCCCGGCCGGGCTTGGGAGCCCGACTTTCCTCTGGGCTCACCCTGCACTGCGAAGGTCGCCCCACTGAAACCCATGAGCAGATGGCGAGATGGTGTTTCTGTGATTTGGGACGTAAAATGTACCTGAAACTGACGCCTATGTCGGAAATGAACACCTCAGTGGGAAGGGGAGGGAGGGGCCACGAAGGGAGGTTATGACCGGGCAGCCTGCATCCCACGCAGCCCCGCCACCAGCGCTGGATGTCAAGACCTGGCTCGCTGGTCCCAGACACCTTGCGCCCTGCCCCCCGCAGTCCCGCGCTCCGCCAG